GGTCGTCAATGCGGCTTACTGCGTCAGCTCTCCAAAACATGTCTTCCGTTACAAATAAGGTTGTTAGTATCTAAAGTGATGCTTGATCCAAAACTATTTTATGGACTAGAAGTTTTTGAACAATGCGATACTCGTGATATGCACAAGCAATATCCTTTAATTCCATCGAAGGCTTATTTCATCGATTTTTTTTGTAAACTGTTATTTTTAATCATACTCACAAAATAAACCGTTTAAAAAATGAACTAAATTATTTAAAAACTCACAAGCTTGAATTAAAAGAACTACAATTTCAGCAACTTTCCGGACACACATCTGTACGCCGGGGGGTAGCGGTGTACCGTGGTGGCGCTGGTGGAATGGCGTGGGAGGCGACGGCGGGAAAACTGGCGGCGTCGGCGGGCTGCATCGCTGGCTTTCGGTGGCTTGCTGCTGGTGCGTTTGCTGCTGGTGCTGCGGAAGCTGTAGGGGAGAAACCACTCGAACGCGTTTGCCCCTTGATCGAAAAATAAGAACTCGAGAAAAGGTGAACTTCGAATGTAGGCGGGGGTACGACCGCGGTTTATTCAGGTGAACTCCAGAAATCGAACTAACTTAGTCTAAGCTCCGCTCTGCGCTCCAAAGCGCAGCGGAGACTTCATGGAGGGAGCTAGGGACAGCGCAGGAGGGCGGGAGCGCGAGAGAGCGGGAGAGCGGTAGAGCGGTGCAGCTGGTGCAGCTGGATAGCGGGGCCAGTCCAGATTCGCCGGACAGTGGGCCTGAACATTCCGCCCCCCTTGCAATCGCTAGCGTTGCAAAAAATAAAGGAGACGGAACTTCGGCCAGCCGCCTACGCCTCAAGCCTGCGTACAGGCGCCGGAGACGATCCACCCGAACACCGTCTTCTGGGCTACTGCCAGCCCCTCGTCGACCATGTGGAAGCCCGGCTGTATCACCTTCGGGTAGACGTCCGCGCCCAGGATCAATGAAATCGTGGCTGGCCGGTGGAAAACCTCATCCGCGAGCGGTAGCTCCTTAAATTTTCGGATGCGCACGTTCGGCTCGATCTTGAGGACCACCTCCAGCTTGACGGCCTCGTCGGCCTTCGAACGAATCGTCGCCGTGCATATGCTCTCATCGCCCACGTTCGTTGTCGGCAAACGCAACGCGGCGGTCAGGGATGCATCGATGGAGCTTGTCGGGGTGCACGGATCGATGAGTGCGGCGGTGTCGAACTTCTTCTTCCGGTCTCGACGATCACCACAGCAGTCGGGAGAACATTAACGCTATGACGCTGGAGAAGTGCGGCGAGCGACGAAGCTGGTGTCGAGGATGCTGAGCGCGGTGGAGGAGCAGGCGTTTGGCGAGTTGGCGGATCTTGCCGGGGCGAACGCTGCGGAGAAGCGGGCTGTTGCTTGGAGCGGGACTTTTGCTTGGAGCCGGACTTTTTCCGGGAAACAAGGTCGTGCATGTGCAGCAGCGTGTGATGGTTCCGGTTCCACGTTCTGCACCGGTCACCGCTACGACAGCTCCCAGTGGAGTGCTCGTGTGCGAGACAGTTCGCGCAGTACTTGTTAATAAGAACTGCCCGCAGCCGCTTCTCTGCGCTCAGCTTTAGGGACCTCTGACACTTCCGAAGAGGATGGATTCCGCGGCAGACTCGGCATCGGTAGGACTGAGTACCTCGAGTACGTCTGCTATCCAGAGCCTGAGCGCTACGTGGACGGGGAGCCATTTTCCTGTTTAGAGTGTGGATAAGGAAAAAACAAACAGGGCTGATTAACACTGACGTGGATAATGGCTACGGACTAAGGTGTGTAAGAAACGCGGCTCGTTACGAGGTAGTTTTGGGCGGCTCTCTTGGAAGAAGAACCACCTTGGTCACTGGACGTTTGACAATGCCGCGTGTCGTACGAATGTCGACTACGCGGACATTACCATCGGCTCCCGGAAAAACGGAGTCTATTCTTCCAAGTCGCCACTCATTTGAGGGCAAATTGTCATCCTTAATAACGACCAGATCGCCAACACGCAGATTTTCTGTGGGGACTTGCCACTTGTTGCGCTTGTGGAGCTCCTTAAGGTACTCATCCTTCCATCGAGTGCGGAATTGTTGATGGAGAGACTTTAAGTGCTGCCACCGGTTCAGAATGGACTTGGATTCGCCCTTTACTTCAGGTTCCACTATGGATAGAAGAGGTCCACCAACAAGAAAGTGCCCTGGTGTCAACGCTAAGAGACCAGTTGGATCCTCGGACATGGGAGATAGCGGTCTGGAATTCAGACAAGCTTCGATTCTCGCCAGGAGGGTGGACAGCTCTTCAAAGGTGTACTTCCGCGTAGCGGTGGACTTGTAAAACAAGGTCTTGAAGCTCTTGACACCAGTTTCCCATAGGCCTCCCATATGGGGTGCCCCAGGAGGAATGAATTGCCAGGTGAGCTGCTGATGACTATACGCATCGGTCACAGACTCCTTAACGGCTTGCAGGAAGTCTCGGGAAAGCACGGTGGAGGCGCCGACGAAGGTCTTTCCATTGTCGGATTGGACTTGGCGAGGACACCCTCTTCTAGAGACGAAACGAGCGAAAGCGGCAAGAAACTTTTCAGTCGTTAAGTCGGATGTAGGCTCTAGATGGATGGCCTTTGTAGAAAAACAAACGAAAACCAACACATACCCTTTCGTAATGAGACAAGCTCTTCCGGTATAATTTTTAATGTCAAACGGGCCGGCGTAGTCCATCCCTGTGTACGTGAACGGACGGGAAAAAGACACTCGCTCTTTCGGAAAACTTCCCATCATCTGGACTTGCAATCTCTTTTTGTGGATAACGCAGACCTTGCAGGAGTTAACCACTGCCTTCACCAAGTTCTTTATTCTCGGAACCCAGTATCTGGACCGAGTGAGACGCACCACTAACTGGTTGCCACCATGTAACGTAATGAGATGCGTGAATTTGACCAGAAGCCGCGAGAGTGCACATTCGTACGGCAGGATTATCGGATGTCGTTCATCATACCGCAGACTGTCGGAAGCCGTTACGCGGCCGCATGCCCTGATTACCCCTTTCTTATCTAGAAAGAGGTTCAGGGAGAGAATCGAACTCGCCGCGGGCACAGGACGCTTCTGACTCAAGCAGCGGTATTCTTCAGAAAAATACCTGCGCTGAGTGCAAATCGTCATGAGTTCTTTCGCGGCGGCAACGTCCTGGGCCTCTAGACGGACCCCGGAAGGCGGTGATTGTCTTCGACATCGTTGGACAAATCGATGGACATACGCGAGGACCCGCAAAGCTCTATATAAATTGGAAAAGCGATCTAGGAAATCTTCTGACGGCATAGAAGCCACATGGACTTTAACGGCACGCTTTTCGATCTCAGTCACCGGCAGGTCGGTTCCCTGGCTGGGCCAATGATCGCGTGGACGTTGCAGCCAAGTGGGTCCATGCCACCAAAGCGGGTTATCCACCAGCTCTTGAAGGGGAACTCCTCGACTAGCCAAATCAGCTGGATTATGTTCGGATTGAACGTGCGACCCATTGGCCGCCTCAGTGGACTCGGTGATCTTCGTCACCCTGTTGGCAACGAACGTAGTCCAATGGCACGCTGGTTTTGCTAACCATGCTAGCACAATCGTGGAATCGGTCCAACAATGGAATTTTGAGGTCAGCCTCGGCATATTTGGAAGAATGGCTTCGGCCATCTCGGACAAAAGGAGAGCCCCACATAACTCCAGCCTGGGAAGGGACACCGTTTTGACTGGCGCCACACGCGTCTTGGCCGTGAGCAAGTGCACCATCGTCTTATGGCCCACTTCTACGCGCACATAGATCGCAGCACCGTATGCCTTTTGCGAGGCGTCACAGAATCCGTGATGCTCTACGCGGAACTCTGGACGGAAGGAAACCCATCTGGGTATTCTGACCTGGTCTAGGACCGAATAGCTCTGGAGAAAGCTGTTTCACCTTTGGCAAAGCTCAATTGGAAGTTTATCGTCCCAGCCTAGATCCTGAAGCCAAATCTCTTGCATAAAGATTTTGGCACACACAACAAATGGAGCGTGCCAGCCTGCTGGATCAAATAGCTTGGCAATTTGGGAAAGGACTTATCGTTTCGTGTGGGAGATTTCCGTTGCTAAATCTGGTGGGACGAAAAAGAACTCATCGGACGTCGCCTTCCATCGTACGCCGAGAGTTTTGGCTGTGCTCTCAGTGTCGATCTCGTAGAAGTCGGCTGTCAGAAGATGATCGCTTTGGATATGAGCTAATATTTCTTTGTTGTTGGAGGTCCATTTTTCTCGAAGGACCAAAATGTACGCCGGGGGGTAGCAGGGTACCGTGGTGGCGCTGGTGGAATGGCGTGGGAGGCGACGGCGGGAAAACTGGCGGCGTCGGCGGGCTGCTTCGCTGGCTTTCGGTGGCTTACTGCTGGTACGTTTGCTGCTGGTGCTGCGGAAGCTGTAGGGGAGAAACCACTCGAACGCGTTTGCCCCTTGATCGAAAAATAAGAACTCGAGCAAAAGTGAACTTCGAAAGTAGGCGGAACTAACTTAGTCTAAGCTCCGCTCTGCGCTCCAAAGCGCAGCGGAGACTTCATGGAGGAAGCTAGGAACAGCGCAGGAGAGCGGGAGCGCGAGAGAGCGGGAGAGCGGGAGAGCGGTAGAGCGGTGCAGCTGGATAGCGGGGCCAGTCCAGATTCGCCGGACAGTGGGCCTGAACACATCTTTAATTTTAGTAATAATAATGATTGTTACCCTATTTGTATATTTTATAAGAAAAACAAGGAAGAACGCTGTAGTCGAGTACCTCGACTATCAGATACCCTTTACTCAGCTAATGGGACCAAAGGGAAATAGAGATATGCAAAAAGCAAATCGAGATTGAAATGCGCCACCTACCCGAAATCTCAAAATGTGGTTATGTGGTCGGTATAGGTGGAGAAGTGTTTCTATTTGATTTAAGCTTTATTTTAACTTTAAATAATGTCCGAAATTAAAAAAAATCGTTATTGACAAAAACTGTTCATAAAGTTTCAAATATTTCTTTTCATTTGATATACATTTTTTATACATTTTTGCGACGGTCTCTGATTAGTTGGCTAGCTTTGCTGAAAACCCTTTCCGATTCACACGAAGATGCGGGAACGCACAAAAACTTTTTGGCCAATGTCTTTAATGCTTCACCATCGGTAGTCATCTAAAATAGGATCATTTCTACAATAAATATCGGAAAAATATATTAATGAATTATTTCTTACCTCTCAATACGTAAGTGGGTCGCATTTTTCTGGATGGTTTTCCTTTTCTATGTGTTGCCTCAATAAAATGATGGTATCTGCCCAGGAAGAGTGCACTTTGGTTCTGGTGTTGGTGTTGGCTGATGTGGATTCGCGGACATTCTGCTGAACAGCTCATCTTGAACAGCCTTAGCAGCTTATTCTGCATTCGATGAACTAAGGAATCCCTGTTTTTTGAAACGGGGATCTATAATGGTGGAAATTCTGGGTATAGTGCGTGTTTCATACGCTGCCAGTCTTTCCCCGAGTCTAGTCTTAATGAACTCAAAGACAAGTTTTCCCTCTGCTGTTTCCAAATTAATTTCCTTGATTTTGTGCTGCAGTTTGCATATTACAGGTATTATAAGGGACACTGACACCTTGCTATTGGAAGACACAAAAAGGGTAGCGTCTTCAAAGGGAGACAACAAAGCGGCTATATCTTTGAGAATATCAACTTCTGCTGCAGAAAATGGCGAAGGAGCATTATGGCAAGACATTAAAGCCAGAGACACAAACTCGTTGGTCCTTAAGATTCGCTTGATCATAGCAAAGGCGCTGTTCCAGCGAGTTGGCATTTCATGCAGCAGAGTACAGGGATTTTCTCCCTGTGCTTCCTAAAATTTAGCATAGGCAACCTGGCTTCTTTTGAAGAATGCCACTATTCTCTTACATTTTGTAAGTATATCATCAATACACGGCATCTTGATTGTGTGTGCTACACATGGTAAGTGCTTATATTGAAGCAATCGACATGCCTTTACCATGGTAGCATCATTGTCGGTTACTATACATACCACCTTATTTGTCACCCCCCAATCTTGGAGCACCGCCTTCATGGTTTTAGCAATATTTGATGCGGTGTGATTGGTGGAATCGAGCAGCTGCCTTTTTGCTAATATTTCAGACTCTAATTTAAAGTTATTCGACACAAAATGGCATGTTATAGTTATATAGCCTTCATTGGCCCTTGATGTCCACATATCAGTGGTTAATGCCAGAAAATCCACATTGGCCAATATTACATACAGTTTGTTTTTTAACTCCTCATACTGGCTTGGAAGCACTACATCGCGCAAATGTGATCTGCTGGGCAACTTGTAGCGTGGGTCCATTGCCTTCATCAGCTCTTTAAATCCTTCATCCTCAACACAACTGAAGGGTTGGACATCGACAGCTATCATACGCATCACCTTCATATCCAGACAACGTTTCCGAGTGGAATCGTTGTTGTAAAAAAACGGAGGCTTCCGACATAAACATCCATTGTATTGGTCTGCTGGCTTTTTCCGTCTTTAAGGCGATCAGGATGAACATGCTTCAGATGGTCAAGAAGGTTTGTTGTGTTTCCTGCTGTTTTTATAGCTTTACCGCAGAAGTTGCATATTCCATGCGTTTTTTCAACAGTTTTCTTAAAGTGGTCCCATGCCACCGAAACATCGCGTTTCTTTTTTTTTTGGGTCCTCCACATTTTCATCTGCTGCTCCTAAAAAGAACAAACTTTTAAATTATAAAACAAGTTTCATGTATAAATACACGAGCATGCATGTGTATATGTACACACGTGTAAGAATGCATACCCGCACTTAGATGAAGCACAACTCGGGTGGTTAATAACTTACTTTTTAGATATCTGTCCATGTCCTCCACTTAACAACCAACACCAACACCACCAGCAACGAACACTAAATTGGTAATATGAATTAAATTAGTACTTACATTTTATACGACTTTGTTTCGCACCGCGCAGTAGAGATGGAAACATCGATGATTCCCTGCCAAACATCGATGTTAGCGATGTTTCGAAAACATCGATGACATCGGTGTTTCTCCACCTCTAGTGGGCGGTAGACAGATTTAAGAGTTATGTGCGTTAGAGTGGGCGTGGCAAACAATTTTTTATCTAGCATGAAAATTGTGGGCGCCACAGATTTGGTCGGCTTGTGGGCGTTAGAGTGGGCGTGGCATATTTGCGTAACAAACTTGGTCTGCGTACAGGGCTACGGAATCTAAATCTGAGGTCTATCTTTGATAATTCCCGAGATATCCGCGTTCATATGTACGATTTTTTGAAGTTTGTGGGCGGTTTGTGGGCGTTAAAGTAGGCGTGGCAAACTTTTTTCAATCGATAGGTATTGATGAGACCAATACATTTCAGTTAAAATTTTTATTTGGCGGTTTGTGGGCGTTAGTGTGGGCGTGGCACGCTGCTGAAACAACCTTGCGCTGCGTACGAAGCTCAGGAATCTGCAAGCCAAATCTTAAAAGCCTAGCTCTTATAGTTTCCGAGATCTCAGCGTTCATCCGGGCAGACGGACATGGCTAGATCGACTCGGCTAGTGATCCTGATCAAGAATGTATATAATTTATGGGGTCGGAAACGCTTCTTTCTGTCTGTTACACAGTTTTCGACGAAACTAGTATACCCCTTTACTCTACGAGAAACGGGTATAATAAATGTAAAACGGCAGTTGTAATGCAATGTCATACCTTAAAGCATGGATAGTTAAAGAAAAACGAACAATAAAAATATGCCTTAAAGTAATAATAATAAAGTAATAAATTATAAATTAAGAAAAGGCACTCTGAACACGAACTCACATAAGTAACATATTTACGGCCGCAAGTGCATCCTTGAGATATAATAAAGTAATAATTTATAAATTAAGAAAAGGCACTCTGAACACGAATTCACATAAATAACATATTTACGGCCGCAAGTGCATCCTTGCGATATCACGTAAAACCTTCCCACACTATAAGCAACAATTGAAAGGGTCCTCTGAATTTTAGGCCAACGGTCCTGATAAAATATAAAGGGATATGTCTAAAAAATGTGTTTTACTTGTATATTTGTACTTTTACATTTAACAGCTGTGTTTAACCCTTTGCGTGATTTGTATTGGCACGGAGCATTTCATCGTGCCACTTTCGGCTAACGGAACCATTTATCGGAATTTTTTAGGTTATTTTGTAAAACCCAAAAAAATTGACGTACTTTAAACTTAGATAAATAAACAACTTCCCAAACTTAAACACTTACCTGAATTTCACTTTAAATAATAAAATAAATGTGTTTCGCTGAGCTCAATTTAAATAGCCTGCTTCTCTTTTAATAGCTCAAACAAAATGCACCGAATCTTCTTCTCACCCTTTAACTTTATTTCTTTTGTTTTATTTTCGCTGTTGGCGCGTGCCTCTGCCCCTTTACTCTTTCTACAGCGAAACATATCCGACTATAACATTTTTACTCCTTAAGTATGAATTTTTAAAAAATGTTAATATTAAAAATGTTTTAAATATTTAAATAAATATTAACGGATTATATTTCTATTACTAAACTAAAAAATTACAATTTAATAGTGTTGTATAATACATTCACGTAACATTATAAGAAAATTCAATTTACTTAATTTTACTTTTATCAAATAACTTACTTTTATAAAACAATATTAGTTGTTTGTTTTTTTAAATACAATAATTCTGACAAAATATTAGGGCATTCATATGTCGCTGCGCCACAAATATTGTTCCGCCAAAAATTTTGGTCGCTAGCTCAACATAACGGAGGGATGCAAAAAAAGATAACGGACCGGCCGAAGTTTGTCTCTGCAAGCCCCTAGTTCGCGCATTTAATAAATCTCTTTGTTAAGACGATACCATAGTCGTTTTCGTTAAACACTCTCGACAAGGAAGTGGAATGAGGCGTATACTCGAGGTCTTCTATAATCATCCTACAGACGACAACGAAGTAGTGACGGAGCACATCGATCAACATCAAGCATTTGGGGCGCAGAAGTTTCAACTTGAAAACGGCCATAGAAGTCTGGGCTCGTAAGGGGTCTTTTAACCTTCCATTTAACTAAGTCTTAACTTTGAATTTGTCGTTCATTGATAATTTTCTCTGTTGCATAATGGCAGAGAGTTACAAAAATGCGCCCGAGCAATTCGATTCCAGTAAAGTAAAAAAATAAAAAATAAAAGAAGAATTCTAAATATGTTTGCATGTGAATGCCGAGGAAAAAGGAGGGAAAGGAATTAACAATATTTGAAACCGTTTCCTTGCGCATTAGTTGTGTACAAATCTAATGCATTTAATCCAATAAACAAACAATAGTTGTAATAAACACAAATTGCAATATATGCATAGCATAGGCAAGTGTTCTGCCCATCCTCTGCTCGCTCACGTGTAACGTACATGTTCGTGTGACTTCGGCATGGGTCTTCGGGTAATTTTTTCTCAACTTCGGCGCGCTTTTTTGTTGCTGCGGCAGAGGATCTCAGTGCAAAGCAGAGAAACGTCTCGCTACGGCACGCCGCGCGCAAACTTCGTGTTTGTTACACTCACACTAATGCAAGGCAAACTTGGGATGGTATGTGTGTGCCGACCACTGCTCTAGAGCTGCGAAATTCTAGAGTAGCCGAGGTCGTCAAAAAATATCCCTGCCCCTTTTGCACAATTACTACATTAAACAAGGAAGAACGCTACCCGTTACTCAGCTAAAGGACCATAGGAAGAGATATGCATGCAGCAAAACCCTCTGTAATGCGCCACCTACCCGCGATCTCAATATATGGGCGTTAGGGTGGGCGTGGCAAACATTTTTTGGGTTAATCGATAGGTATTGAAAAGACTAATATATTTCAGTTAAAATTTATTTTCTAGTCTGAACATGTGGGCGTTTGAGTGTGTGGCATATTCGCGTAACAAACTTGCGCTGCGTACGGAATCTAAATCCAAATTCGCAATTCTCTATCTTTTATAGTTTTCGAAATATCCGCGTTCATATTACAAAATTTTTTGAAATTTGTGGGCGGCTTGTTGTTGTTAAAGTGGGCGTGACAAACTTTTTTTTGGTCCAACCGATAGGTAATGATGAGAACAATACACTTCAGTTAAAATTTAAATTCTAGCATTAGGACTGTAGAAACCACTGTTTTGGGTGGCTGGTGAGCGTTAGAGTGGACTTGGCACACTGACGAAACAAACTTGCGCAGCGCAGAAATCCCTAGAATCTGCATGCCTAAACCCAGGGTTGCAGTTTTTATAGTTTCTGAAATCACAGCGGTCATACGGACAGACGGACATGGCTAGACCGACTCGGCTAGTGATCCTAATCAAGAATATATGCGCCGTTCCTTTACAAGCCGAACGGATTTAGCAAATAAAATGTTCACATTTTTGATTTTCCTGAAACTATTTTTACGTATACTATTCGGAAAATAAGTAAACAAGTTTATCAGGATTTGGCCGAAAAAAAATTATTTTTGTAGTTAGAGTTCTTTAAAGTTTGTAAATAAAACGCAAAATTTCCAAAAGTACTCTCTGCTTGAAAATCGATATCTCTAGCTGTAGTTATCCGATTGACTTCCTCTTTTTTGTATACAATCCTAACGCAAATTTTTTAATCTGCTGAAAATAAAAACATATTTTAAAAAAAACTTTATCTGTTGCCCCCAAGAGTTTTTTTTTTAATTTTGAAGTATGCTTCCATTTGCCACCTAAAACCTCTTTTTTAATAAGTTTGAACCATTTTTTGTTTTTAATATATTGAAATTAATGATATTTTATACGAACGCACTTTGCAGCAACTTGTCCCTCTCGCTCGCTCTTATTGATGCTTATGGCGTTCGCATTTCTGCGTTGTTTAACAGTCTGTTCATAATTTCTGAATGATAAAAAGGAATCTTTTTTGGAATCTTTTTTCAAAATTTTAACCAACGCGGAATTATTAAAAGAACGGCTCTTATATACTTTATGTGGTCGGAAAAGCTTCCTTCTACCTGTTACACACCCTTTTACTTTACGAGTAACGTGTATAATTAAGTGGTATTTTTAACCAAATCATTTGTTTATTTATCTCGGATAAATAATCTTTCTTACCAAAGTACATAGAACAAAATAAAGAATGTTCAGACCTCATCTCAACAAAAAACGTTTTTCTTTCGTACCATGACAACCAAAGCCCGTTTTAGGCAAACTTTTCGGATGTGAAAACTGGAACAGCGCCGATAATGTCTTACATCAAATTATTTGGCACGGCTAGCTCGCTCTCCTCAATCCACTTATGCCGAAGGGGTCGCTCCAAAACTTGTTATTTTGGGAACATGAGTGACCATTAGAAGGGAGGGCAATCTGTACCTCAACACCATCTGAGGTAAATAGGCATCAAAAGACGCGGCTTGGATGCAAAAATCATTACACTCCTCTACTTTTTTGTATTTCCCTGTTCTATCGGCTATATTTTATTTCGATTGCTATTCATCTCCATCTAACTGATATTGGCTTATTGTACTTCGCAAGCAGGATCATCTTCCAGCGAGGGTACATCTATTTGTTGCATGCGCATTCCGTTAAAAGTTAACATCTTCGCCAGAATTTATACGTAAATGCACATTACATTATTTGGTCTGAACTGAGTTTTAGTCTCTGACGCTCAAGCGCGAATTTTCTTGGTTATGTAATTTGTCAGAAGTTGGGGAATCTCACGCGGTTGCCAATTCTGAGGGTGTTTTCAAAATCAACAGTCCAGTTTTAGAAAAAATCCCGACAAACCTGTCCTCCAAATTTAAGTGTAGCTCTAACAGTGGCGGATCCAGAGACGATTCTTGGGGGGGGAAATTGAACTTATTCTTCGATTTGGGGTTCAAACTTATTATTGCGAGAGAAATATAGTACAAATTATAAAACAAAAATTATCCATCCCAATTTTTAGGTAAACAAAGTGGTTATATTTGAAAAGTCAACCATATGCATGC